GTGGGTACCACGACCCAGCAAAACAGGATGAGTCACTATGCAAACCCGTGGCCAGACACCCCCCATGGAGAGGAACAAAGGAAGGTGGAATGCTGCCCTGGCTGGGGGGCAGGGCTGGAAGAGGGTTAGTGAGTTGTTGGCTGGGAGCATGGAGGAGAGCCTAGGGAAAGGGACTGGAGTTTAGGGGCCCAGTCTCCCCCATCTCAAGGGGGCCTGAGGCATCCTAGCCCAGCTCTGTGACCAGATTACATCTGTGCTGTGCTGTATCCTGGAGAGGCAATAAACAACCTCCATTACACCAGCTGGTGCAGTCTGTTTGTGCCATTTCGGGGTGCAGGAGACGGGGGACCCCCAACGCGCCGTCACACCAATCTAGACACTCTTCTCCGCAAATGCTTTTAACATTTCCGTTAAAAGGATTTGCGGAAAATCATGCCAGTGTAGACGTAGCCTCATAGTATGAGGAGTAAGGGAAGTCAGAGGAAGAGTGCTCTATTTCAAAACAAGTGCTGTGTAGATGCTTCCAATTTTGAAATAAGCTATTTTGAAATAATCTACGCAATTGATGTAGTTCAATTTCCATAGGTAATTTTGAATTAAGCCCTGCTGTGTAGATGTACCCTGATTATCTTCAGTGGATTTTGGATCAGGCTGTCAGATACCTAAGTAAGTGGCTGATTTTCAACAGTGCTGACGTACAGTCATTGCAGATAATGAGTCTGTGCTGTCTGCAGCAGCAAGCTTCCCAGCATGCGCTGATAGACTAATGGAGTTTGCAGTACTGTGCTGTAAGTAGTTGTGTGGATGTTCCGGTTCAGGCTGCAACTCAGGCTCTGAAGCCTAAGGAAGGGGGGTAGGTTTCAGAGCCTGAGCTCCAACCCAAGCTGCAGCTTCAAAGCACCGTCTACGCCGTTCTTTTTAAAACACTAGCCCCGAGTTTCTCGTGGGTAAATTGCAGGCAACACAGGCATACCTAATGAGGCTGTACACATACATAAGTATCAGAGCTGTCCCATCTATGGTTTGGGGCAGTAACCCTGGGCCCTGCACTTCAGGGAGATGTGGAGCCTGGATTGTGCAGGGGCTGATGTCAGCACCCAGTCCATACTCTACTTCACTTATTTCACTAGCCCCGAGTTTCTCGTGGGTAAATTGCAGGCAACACAGGCATACCTAATGAGGCTGTACACATACATAAGTATCAGAGCTGTCCCATCTATGGTTTGGGGCAGTAACCCTGGGCCCTGCACTTCAGGGAGATGTGGAGCCTGGATTGTGCAGGGGCTGATGTCAGCACCCAGTCCATACTCTACTTCACTTATTT